TAGGCCCCTTAAGATCCTGCAAAGGGACAACTGCTTGTTCAATGTGATACAATTCTACTTCAATAATCACAGGAACGCTTTTCACGTTTATACACAGCACTGGCACTCCTTATTTAAATAACAAACTGTACTTCTTTCTGTTGAGATGTGGCTGTGTTATTTATTTTCTTCTGGATAAAATGTTCTGTCAAATCTTTAAAGATGTTAAAGACAATTTACATGAAACACATTTGGATTTTAAACTTGCTCTTACAGAATGTTTTCTCCCACTATTTCTTCAGTTCTGTTTAAAAAACAAAACAAATATTGAGTGATTAATTGCTTACAAATAACACTTAATTGCAGCCTGACACACAATAAGTGATGTCTCAAAGTTTCACTTTGAATGTTAAGCATGAAGAATAGAAAATAATATTAAGTGACTTATTTCAAATTATTATATTAATGAAGTAATCTTTGGCGTTTGCAGCTTTTTGCCAGTGTTGCTGCAAACCTCAATCTAATTATTTTACCGTTTATTTAACCTCAGTCTCAGGCTTGATCTGCTGTAAGTACATTAGGTCATTGTTGAATCATGAAGTGAGAAAGCTATTTTAAATGGTTACACAAATACTTCTTTCAAACATTTTTGTAATTGGAGTATTTCATATCTGACAGCTTATGTTTCTTATTCATCAAATGGCCAAATGTAAATTTGCCGTTATGTAGTAAACAAGTTAACATGTTGATCTTATCTATTGTGGTTTTGCAGAGTGATGGGCCTGTCGAAGCGCGTGTCATCGTGGTCGGTGGAAGAAGTGTTGGAGTGGATGCAGGGTTATCACCCGGCCAAGATGGACACGCTCCAAAAAGCCATAATTAAACACGCCATATCAGGTATCAAGTCATGCATCACACTCAACCTGCTTTGTTTGCACAGTTAATAGAAGATAAGATCTGTTGTGAAAATACTGAATGTCCTCTTCCAATATGAGAGCAACTTGATAACAAAGGTATCCCAACTGTAGCTGTGAACATGACAGGATGTGATTACCTAGAAGAGCATCAGGACTGTTTGAGGCATATGATAGCTATGTGATTAACATGATGA